GAGGCGGAGGACAGGTGGCAGGCGGGGAAGCGGAGGAGAGGGCCGGGGGGCCGGTGGAGCGGGGAAAGGATATGCGTTGATCGGTTGACATGGTGGCCCGAGGGAAGTAGCATCGGGTCCACCAAGTCCCGGCCTGTCAGGGCGTCGTGCAGCTGCTCCGGCGAGGGGGGCAGCTGCTGGGGCGTCGGATGGCCGGCAGCGTCGGCGAGGCAACCGCCCGCCGGGGGGGTGTCCTCGGCCTCGGGGTTGGGGGGTGGCCGGGCGATTTGCAGGACCAGGGCGCGCCCGAGACCGATCTGCGGGGCGCCTGCGCGCAGGGACGGCCACGGAGGCGCGCGGCGTCAGGCTCGACATGGCGCGGACGTGCCCAGGGCGAGGGCAAAGATCGAGGTGGAAGCGGCAACGCACCGCGGAAGATGTCCACCGCCAGGCGGCGGATGGGCAAGTGGCGCGCCGGGTGCCTGTGTGTCTGGTGTCGGCCGGCCGAGCACCGAGCCACGGACGCCGTGGCACCCTACGCGACCCGGATATGCCGGCAGCGAGTCAGTCAAAAGAGGGGGGAGGGGGCGAGGGTGTGCTGGGCGAAAGGGCGGCGCGGCTCCTCGCCCACCCACCCCCCACAAGCGGCGCACCAGGAAGGGGACCATCGGGGCATCCAGCGGCCCGGCGGTCGGCCACCAGGCGCGGACGGCAGCCGCCACGGCCGGGCCCGGCAGCGCGGTCGGCAGCCAGAGGAGCAGCCATGGCGCCGGGTGTCCGACGAAGTGGGCGTCCCGGTCGAGGTCGAAGCGCCCGATGACCGTGCCGGCCGTCGAGCCGGACAGGCAGCACGCCGCATCGGGGTCCGGCTCGGCGGGAGCCTGTGCGATGGCCGGGGTGGGGCGGCGGCGGCGGCCGCCACCGCCGCCGCCGCGAGCCGCGGCCGTCGGCCGCGGGCCGGGCCCGAACCAGGCGCGCACCTCCACCGACCGGCAGCCGCCGAGGGTCCGCAGGCCCAGGCGCGGGGTCACCTGCAGCTCCAGGGCCAGAGCCAGGAGGTGCGGGCCGTCCGGCCCGGGGGTGCCTGCCAGCGCCGGCCGGATGTCCACACGAACCGGCGGCTTGACGAAGGGCGCAGTCAGGAAGCCCTGCGGTGCGGGGGGGGGGGGGGGGG